TATTTTTATATTTTTATGAAAATAATTAATTTAAGGAATAAAAAAGGAAATAATTGAAATAAATAAAATAAAGAAAAGAAAAGAAATACAATACCTTGGGGGGTTCTGTCCCCAATTGGAGGTATACTTTAGTATTGTTGGCCCAAGGTTTTAAGGCCTTATTTGACTTTTCTTGCCAGCGTATAGCTCCATTGACTAACGCCCAGGGTGTTCTTCCAACCAATGCCCTTGGATTGAGGTAATAGGCCATGTGGCACGCTGGATATTGTGGATGTATGATGCACCCTTGTAGTGAAACTGCACAGAAGCGTTATTAGCAAAATAATATGGAATAGAAAGGGGGACCTGGGATTCGAACCCAGGTCCCAGGGATTACCATACACATGCCTTGCCACTGGAGCTCTTGACGCGCTTTGGTTATATAATGGCAAACAAATAACATAAAGTAAAACAAGCGTTAGTGGCTGATTTAGCGCGAAAATTCAAATAACTCAATCACTGCCTTACACATCACCGTCTTCTTCCTTATTGCGCTTTTAACCTGAAACATAAAAAGACTTAGCGGGGGTTTTAAACCCCCCCAAAATATGCCGTTTTTCAAAATAGCGATTAGGCTATGGTATCACATAAATTAGGCGCGAGGGGTGTGTTGTATTCGTCCAAGCTCCCTGATTTCAACTATGGTATTAAGGAGTCTCAATTTTACAGTATGTGAAAGTTCCCAAATTGAAACTTGAAGAACCCTAATAATCGTTCATGGTGATTTCGCGTATGAGTGATGAAAGCTTAATTAAACAACACAGTTAGCTTCAGAATGATGAGAGCATTACAAAACAAGCATTAGATTTGAAAATTATGGCATAAATGATCAGATGCGATTATGTAAAAAAAGTGATGCAGTCTGAATTATAACTACCAATTCTTGATGTTTCAAGCTATGATTTTGATTCAGACTCCTTCCTTGAAGCTTCAGGAACACAATGGAATAAGTATTTGGCCTTGAATCGCACTGTAACCTAGTTTTCAGTTTTTGAATTTTTGTCAAAAAACTCCAACTTGGTTATTGATGTATGGCGCAACTTTTTTGAGTATCAGCACTAGGGTTAGGTTTACACTTGTATAGAGAACGAATTTGATCAATAATCCAAGCCCATAGCCTTACTTTTAATGATTTTCAAGATTTGATTTTCAAGAATCTTTTCCAATATTTCTTCATGCATATTTGATACAAATCATGGCCAATCACTTTAATTCCTTCCATATCTGATCATGCACGAAATCTTGAGCTTATTCCATGCATAAAAAGATTTAAAAAGTTAGGTTTAGTATTTTCCACATATTTATTTTAATTAAATGAATTATTAGTCATTAAAAATCCAAATAAATAAATAAAAATGATGAAAAACTTCCCTTTGGGCCAAATGGTCGTGCACATGCCTTGGATGATGGATTTTGGAAGAAAAAGAGGCCCATTAGCATTTTTAAGACATTTGAAGCAATGTTGACTTTTCAAAATATCCAAAAATTTCCCAACTTCCACAAGGCATATCTTGCTCAATTTTTAAGCTTTGCTCATGTTCTTGGACATTCTGGAAAGGTCTTTGAGTCCTATAACCAATGTCTTTGGTCCCATGTCATTTTGATTTACCAATCTTAAGTTATGGCCTTTGACTTAAAGTCCCTTTTTGTTGACTTTTGAAAATGACCTATAATGTTGAAAATGATAACTTTTTATGAGAGAATTTTTTGGACTTGAAGTGTGAAGAGGGGTTGTAGGAAATGTCTTTATCTTCAAAATGAGATTTGGATGGAATTTTTCTGATAATCCATGTGGAAGTTATGCCTTGGTCAAGTTACAGTTGACTTTTTCAACTGTCCAAATATGGAAACTTTTGCATCTTGAGACTTTTTGAGCCAAGCTTTGAGAATCATGATCAAGCATTGATCAAATGATGTTTGTGGCTTCAAAATGAGATGTTGACCAAAAATTTGGACTTTTGACTGTCAAATGACTATTTTGCCCCTACAGTTGACTGTAGTGCAATTAGGTTTTTTGACTGTGCAATTTTGTGTTGTAAGTCTTGAAACTGGGTATGAGGATGCTTGACCATGTTTATAGGCATGTGGGACTTGATTGGACCCTTGGAAACTTCATTTTCTTTGTCAGAACCAAAACCCTAATTTTTGACTGTTAGGAGGCCCTTGAACTGTGCAACCCTTGGGGAGATTTTGAAGCATGCTCTTTGCAATTCTTGAAGAATATGGGAGGGCAAATTTTGGGGTACAACAACAAGGTTCCACACTTCCAAGCAAACAACTGTAGCTTGTATTAATGTCCATAACCTAAGAGGTTATCTTGAAAAATATATGGGCCAATTTTCATTGGTAAGTCCACCTCTCCAATCACAGTCCTTCTTGACACATCAAAAGCTTTTACCACTAAGGTACCAGGTCACATTGGTGTCCCCTCATAAGAGAGTTTTGCCAATGTGGATCTAGGCATAACATTTAATGATGATTCAGTATCCACTAAAACTTAGGAAAGACTATAGTATAGACAATTTATAGAGATATGTAATGCTCGATTATGGTCTCTTCCTTATGTCAGAAGTTCTTCATCATTGAAGCTCAAACTATTGCATATAGTAATATTAGCCACAATTTCGTTGAATTGGTCTATAGTTATGTTGTGTGCCACATGGGTTTGTTCAAGTACTTTTATAAGTGCTTCCCTATGTGCTTCTAAACTCAGAAGTAAAGGTAAATTGGGAAATTTTTATAGTTGCTTCTTCTGATAAGCTTAGAAAACTCAGCAACATGATTGTATGGAGCAACATTATTTACAAGATTTGGCTTCTTGTCGGGATTTACCACTTCTTTTCCATTTTTTTGGCCCTTGGGATACTTAAATGGTCACCCTTGGTTTAGGTGCAAAAAATCGACCACTCTGAATCATTCTTCTAGTTCCAGCAATGTTAGTGACATAAGCTTTTGAAAATTCCTTTGGCTCCTCTTCAATATGCTCCTCTTTTCCATTCACAAGGGTAGTCACGTCATATCGCTAAGGGATGACTTTTATAATTTCAAAAGGAAAAGGTGACGACATATAGATAACGAGTGATGATACAAGACTCACTTCTAGTTGGAAAATTGTCTGTTCTTTGGTAGACAATCTCTACAGGTGTGGATAAATCAAAATGGGGTTTTATCACTGAGACATATTTATCATTTTCAACGCGTCTGATTTGTAGGATCCCTTGATTCATCAAAAGTTGCACATTCCCCTGAGCAATATGACAACCTTATGGGTGCATAACATACTCAATGCATTCATCATGCTTTCCTTGGACTAGGCTAGATTCCACCTATCGTGCATGGAGATCTGCCAATGGAGTCTTCACATATCTAACATATCTTATCAACTGGTTGTCCATAACTTCTTCAATAGTATTAGTTGTAGGGCCCCCATGTGTTGGTAAAGGGTTATCCTTGACATTCGGTCGTGTCTCCTTAAAGGACAAGATAATATCAAACCCTACTGAAGCAATGGCATATACAATTGGCTACAAGGCATAAGAATAAGATCAAATTTGGTTCTATCCCTTTTGTTGTGATTCTGTTAGTGAGGAGCATTACCATGTTGTGAAGCCAGAGTTGTAGGCTCATAATAAACAGGTGCTTGTTGGTAAGTGGGCATAACAACTGCATTTTGATAATGTTGGAGTTGTAGAAACCATTCGATAAGTTGGGGCACCCGCTGCTACGTATGGTTGTGCATAATACGACATAACAAGTTGTTTATACACCACAGACTGTCGAGGTTTCCCTCGGCGGGACCTTCCTCTACAAGTAAAAACAACATTGGTTTCTCATTCTTTCTTTTTTTAGGAAATTTTTTGGGAATTTATTTACAACACTGGACGCTCTAACGACACTAACAATCTTGCCGTTAGCTAACAATTTCAAGATTTAACAAAAAAGATTAAGTTGATTAATATAACTCTTTTTAAGAGATTAATCTATAACGTTTAGATTAGAGAGTAGATTCGAAATTAAAGTGAAATATGAAATTAAGTTTATTCCAATTAAGTCAAATATTTAACTCTATAGAAACTATTTTCTAAAAAAACTCAAATAAACACATTTTTTATTAAATTTAAAATAAAATAACAACCGTGAAATTAGGGGTAAACAGAAACGTCCAAACCGTATTAATCTGATGAAACAGACCGATTTCTGATCAAACGAACGGGTCAAATGGGTTGTGCGGGTGATCGGATGTGCAAAATCGATTTTAGATGAGTCTAAGCAGGCATGTGCAAATCCAATTTTTAGACGCAGTGGTACCTAACCTAACCAGTATCTTGGCAATAATTACACCATAAAATATTATATTATTTAAATATAAATCATACTAATATTTTCTGATAGAATCGTTTGAAAACGTTAGTCTACCACTTCCATCAATAATAATACTAGTTTATTTACATGATAAGACTTTATCTTTATTTAATTTTTAATCTATTTATTTTATTGATGGTCTAGTACTAAAACCATTGCCAAATTCATTAATAATACTACTATATTTTCGAAACAATGCTAACAATAAAATAAAATAGTAATAGAAGTTTATAAAAACGCATTTAAAACTAATTTTAAATATTTATTTATAACATAATAAACGGAAACGAGTTTCTAAATATCACCCACAATTTAAAAGGGTTTAATGTTTTAAACCCGAACCAATCCGAACCGTCCTTTGTCCATCCCTTAATGGCAAAATAATATGGCACGCCTCGCCCAAAACTTAAAGAACAGTTTCCCGCAATGAAAATAGGAATGCCACGCTGGCAATCCGTGTCTCACGTTTTCAACCAATCAGCGCAGAGTGTTGGTTCCTATATAATAAAATTCCACCAAACAATTTATGAATCCGTACTCTTCAAATCAAATCTCAATTCAAAGGTTTTTAGGGTTTCTCTTTTTTCCATCAATTGAAAATGAGTTCCACTGCAACCACCAAGGGCGGAAGAGGCAAGGCAAAGGCTACAAAATCTGTTTCAAGATCATCGAAGGCTGGACTTCAATTTCCAGTTGGTAGAATTGCAAGATTCTTGAAGGCGGGAAAATACGCCGAACGCGTCGGTGCCGGTGCTCCCGTCTACCTCTCCGCCGTTCTCGAATATCTCGCTGCTGAGGTATGGTTCCTTCTGGTTTAATTTTACAGAACTTGATGAATTTCTGTTTTGAGTTTTAGGTTTTATTTGAAGATTTTGATAATCGGAATATCTAATTTTCAATTGTTCGTCATATAGGTTTTGGAATTGGCTGGGAATGCTGCGAGGGATAACAAGAAGACTCGCATTGTTCCAAGGCACATTCAACTCGCTGTTAGGAATGATGAAGAACTTAGCAAGCTTTTGGGAACTGTAACCATTGCCAATGGAGGTGTTTTGCCTAGTATTCACAACACTTTGCTCCCTAAGAAAGCTGGAAAGGGACAAGGAGAAATTGGATCTGCTTCTCAAGAATTTTAGGGTTTCTACGCTCGTCGTTGGGTAGTCTTATTCTGTTTTTGGCCCTAAATCATATGTAATTTACCAAAATACCCTTATTCTTAAAGTAAAATTTTGATTATTCTAAATTGTTACGTATGTTGATTTAAGATCATAGCTCAAGTTGGATTAACTTTGGTGGGCGTTCATTTGATTAGAAATCAGTTACATTTCAATCACTCAAATACTCCCTGCGTATTTTCTAAAAGTCACAGGAATAGTTGGAGTTTACGGAATTACCCTAGTAAAATTAGACTGCTACTATTAACCATAGCTTTTTGTTAAGCAAAGACAAAAACTATCAAAGAACAGCGTTAAGAAATTGCTGGTTGCCCTCTTTTATGTTTTAAACTGGACACCTATTGAAAACATTTGATTCTTGTCCTTTATAAATTTAAGTTTTACAAAATCACTTCGTATAAAATATGTAATAAGATTGAAATATATAATAACATTAAATGTATTTTTGGTTTCTATTTTATGTCTTTTAAGTCATTCAACTTTAATACCCAACTTTTAGATCTCTAATTTTTTTTTATTGTGTTCAATATATTACTAATTTAATATAAATTGTATGGTTTGGTATCAAATTGTGCTAAGTTAAATTTTAGTTAGACTTAAGTAAGTTTTTGATCCCGATAAATATCTCAATTTTTGTTAATTTTTGTTTTTAGTTTCTTAAATATTTTTCTTTAAAGATTGTTCATTTCAAATTTTTTTGTCTAGACTATTGGTCCCAACAAAGATTAGGTAAGTCTCACTTGTTATAGTTTATTCATTTTGAGCATTACTTGCATGCCCCATGGCTTGGTTCCAATTTCTAGGGTTTTTCATTTTTAATCTATCTGTTGGTAATGTCTGAGTTACCTTTTTTTTTTATTTAAAAAATGTGTAGGCAATGAGGTCATTTAAGATTGTCTTTTATACCAAAGGGTCATTTGTAAAGAATGAAGGGTTAAAATACGAAAGGGATGGTGTTTACGCCGTATGTGGACATGATCTTGATTTCTAGTCATTCTTTGAAGCCTGCGACTTAATTATGGGTATGGATTCATCATTTAAAACTAAAGATGTGAAAATATGGTGGAAGTCTGAACATGATCTAAAACCCCTTGTTAATGACGAGGATGCAACAATGTTAGCTAAGTGTGCCGAGGAGAGTAAGTGTGATGTTGAGATATATCAAAGGCAAAATTATCTAGTGGTGAGAAGACTTATATGGAGAGGTTAAAAGAGAAAGAAAAATGCCACATTAATGTTGAGGAAAATGAAGACGTCGAGGATAATGAATCATCTGAAGACTCATTGAATGAAATACACTTTGAAGACAGTGAAGAAGAAAGGATGCACGATTTTGATAAAGACATGGGCGAAGATGCTAATACATGTGGAGTGGGTAATAGTGATGGTACATGTCAAATGGATAATGGTCAAGGGATACCTAAAGGTTGACTACAACTGAGATGCAAAGGGAACATGTAATTGAGGATGATTACATCACATATGAACTTGATAGTGGGGCAAATGATGATAATGATAATGGTAGGCCTCCAGTGATAAGGTTTAATGAATATGAAAACCTTAGAAAATAATTTAAATTCATGGTGGGAATGGAATTTTCTACTCTGAAGCAATTTAAAAAGGCTGCATTGGAACACAATGTGTTGAGTGGTAGGGATGTCAGGTTTGCCAAAAATGATGGGACAAGGTGTAAGGTTGTTTGTAAGGACAAACAACAATGTGATTACACAGTTTTATGCAACAAGATTTTGAGAACTGCAACATTTAGGATCAAAACTCTATTTCAGAAGCACAAATGTGGAAGAAAGTTCTTCAACAAGAATGCTAATGCTCATTGGGTATCTAGAGTGATTGTTGACAAGTTAAAGAACAATTCAGGTATGAAATTGAATGAAGTTGTAGCAGATGTAAGATTGAGGTTTGCTACAGAAATGACTGGATATAGGGCTTTCAAAGCAAGACAGTTAGCTAGAAAGGTTGTTGAAGGGGACCCAACCAAGCAATACAACATGCTATGGTCATATGAATCTGAATTGAGGAGGGCATCCAAAGGAAACACATTTAAGTTGAACATTTCTGGTTTGCCACGTAGGTTTGAAAGGTGCTACATGTGTTTTGATGGTACAAAGAAAGCATTGAAGGTTGGATGCAGACCATTCATAGGGTTAGATGGATGTCATCTAAAAAACAAATATGGTGGAATCTTGTTGATAGCTGTCAGTAGGGATGTCAATGACCAGTATATTCCACTTGCCTTTGGGGTGATTGAGAATGAAACTAGGGACTCTTGGAGTTGGTTTATTAAGTTACTTATGGAAGATATTGGTTCTGATAATAGGTGGTGCTTCATGTCTGATCAACAATAAGTATGCTTAATGTTACTTCATCATTTAGTGTTTAATGTTACTTATTGATGTGGTGGTCATGTATATGCAGGGACTGGTGAATATATTTGAGGAAGAATATCCTGAGTTTGAGCACAAGTTTTGCTTAAGGCATTTATATGCTAACTTCAAGAAGAAGTTTGAGGGGTGGAACACTATATAGAGATCTCATAATAGTTGCAGCAAAGGCAATCTATTTTGAAGCTCACGAGGATAAGATGAATCAAATTAAGGAGGTAAGTCCAGATGCTTTTGGATGGCTAAATACTATTCCCAAGAATAAATGGTGTAAACATGCCTTCCCCTTGTACTCTAAGTGTGATGTTCTTATGAAAACCTAAGTGAATCATTCAATGCTACTATTTTGATGCAAAAGGATAAACCTACAATTACCATGTTTGAGTGGATTAAGGACTATCTTATGGCTAGGTTTGCCACTCTTAGGGAGAAGGTTGAAAATTACAAAGGAGAGATCATGTATAAACCACTTAGAAAGTTAGATAAGGAGATAGAAAAAAGTGCTAATTGGCTGTCCACATATGGAGGTAGATTAACATTTCAAGAAAGTCATGTAATGTTCACAGAAAGTTATGTTGTAGACTTGGCAAAACATACTTGTTCTTGTAACTTTTGGGACTTGGTTGGGATCCCATGTAGACATGCTATTGCAGCCATACATAGGAAGGTAGATAATCCCATTAAGTATGTACACAAGTGTTACCATAGGTCTACCTATGTCTCATGCTACAATGAAGTTATCAGTCCCATTAATGGCCAAAATAAATGGCCAAGGACTGCTGACCCTGAAATCTTACCACCAAGTTACAAGAGAGGTGTAGGTAGACCAAAGAAACTCAGAAGAAGAGATCCAGATGAGGCAAGTCAAACAAGGTGGCAAAGGACAAACACAAGCCACATGTGCAAGACTTGCTTGGAATATGGATACAATGCAAGGACATGTAAGAAAAACAAACAATGGGTAGTTGTTGAAGGTGAACTGCCAAGAGATGTTGCACCCACCCAAGGAAGCCAAACACAAAAATGTGGCTACTGCAGGATCCAAAAAAGGGTTAGTAACTCAAACTGAACACAAAATTTACATTATAAATTCATATATAATTTTCAATATCTTGTTACAATTATGTTGGATGCAGGATGAGCCAAAAGGTACAACCAAAACCAAAAAGGGAGGCACATCTAAGAAATCAAAAACTGGAAATGAGAGTCATGCTACTGCAGGAACTGAGAGTCATGCTAATGCAGGAACTGGGAGTCATGCTACTGCAGGAACTGTGAGTCACGCTATTGCAAGAAATGAGGCTCAACACCAACTGCAACAACTACGAGTCACGCTACTCAACTTGGAGAAAACCCTGCACCAACTGATATGACACCTACTCAACCTGGGGTACACCTTTCACAAAATTCTGTTACCTCATATGAGGCAATGAGAATGTACTGTGGTATAGATCATGATGAACTAGAGGCATTGTTGAATGATAATGAAATACTAGACATTCCACCATTAAGAATTGATACTAGTCCTGTAAAGAATAATATGCCTGGTCCCAAAACCTTTATTGGTAAATGTCCTAAGGTATCAAAACCTGCTGCTAACTCAACTATGAGTGACCCTGTAAGTTTGTAACTTGTTCTGATAGACTTATTTGGCATGTTCTGTTTTTTTACCTTGATAACACTATTTTCATAACAGGTGAAAATCATGATATCACCAAGAAAAAAGTCAAAGATTGTTGCATCTACAATTAGAAAGAGTGACAGACTTAGGACTTTGATAACAAAGAATATAGAGGGATCTGGAAGGGATTCAATTGATCCATTTGTAATACCTGAATAAGACTCAACTATTGGCAGTTCTAGGGGAAAGGGAAAGAAGAAATGGGATGACATCCAGAAGAGCATGACTCAGTGAAAGCTCAAGAGTGACACAAATGTAGTTTGGCTGTACCTTATGTCTTATGAAACAAATGAATGCTTTATTATTATGCACTTTGTAATGTGCTTTGTTATGTACTTTTTTATGTGTTTTGTAATGTGTTTTGTTATGCACTTTGTAATGTGCTTTGTTATGCACTTTGAACCTTTAATGTAATTTGTACTCATGTCTCAGTATGTGCTTAGTTATGCACTTAACAATCAAATTACAAGCTTTTTATACCAATATTGCAAATTATGTCAACTTAATCATAACAAACAATATTGATAACAATTCAACACCTACAATTGGAAACAAAATTAACATTGAAGCAAGACCTAAAGTCACAGTACATTCTCATTAGATGAATAATTCAACAACTACAGTTGATAACAAAATGAACATTGAAGCAAGACCTAAAATCACAGTACATTCTCATTAGATGAACAATTCAACAACTACAATTAATAATAAAATATACATTTATCATAAATGACACAATAAGACACAACATCTTCAATCTTCCATGAAATTTTTCAGTTTTCAATTTGCTCTTCAAGTTCTTGTTCTTCTTCCTTGATTCTTCATACAACGACTTCATATATCCTACAGATGCCATGGCTTCCAACTCTGAGTTCCTA